TTTCGTGCAAATATGTTGTGGGATGTGTTTATTTGAATTGGGATGCTGAATGGCAATATTGTTCTTTTCTCATGATGATTTTGAGTATGGTGTGTACTTTGTGTTTATAACTGGGGGATGATCATAAATCGTGTTGTTATTTGGATATTTAATGTTGTGGATTTGTGATGTTATTTGTAATTGGAATTTTGGATATTGAGTTTGTAATATCGTGTTTTTGAGGATCTTAAATCCTTTTGCGCTGAATGATATCCCGTTGTTTAAGAATTTAGATCAGTGAGCCTTATGATCGGTGGACTGTGAAGTTCATATCATGCTTTGTCTGTTTAGAATACAAGTTTATAAAAGTTTTAAGTGAGTTCTTTGGGTAAGTGTGTAGGATTATGGTGTAAAACCGTTCTTCACTGGATAACTAATCAATAGGGTGGATTATGGTGTTCTTTTTATCAAATGTTGGATTAGAATTGCTTAGTGACAAATGTAAGTGGAAGCATCTCGTTGGATTTTGTGTGGAAGAAAACGCTCGGTTGAAGATTAACTAACATGAATTCAAAGGTCTGTAGAAACTTGATCATGAAAACTTTGGAGGTAAATTTCCATTCCCTTGTTAGATCCTTGAATTTTCGTGGTGAATACAGTCAAACACTAAAGGCAGTGTTTTCTAATGTCACGTAAGTTCACTAGTTTATGTCTTCATAAGGTTCCCAAGTTTTGGCTGTCGGCTTGAAGAGTTTTAGCGAACGACTCCATTGATTGAAAACACCCTAGGCTGATAAAAATGATCAAAAGGGAGTGTATTTTCAGATTATTTTCACATTTAATCGAGGGTTTCTGCCATTTCCATTACTCGATATTCAAGTCGTTTGACTAATGTGTTTAGCTCAATTGTGAAGAAATTCAAGTTACATTGACGACTGATTATCAGTCAAATTGTCGATTAACATGATCTCATGATTTTAGAAGCGTGTGATTTTTTCGAAAACTTTGTCACCTGCATTGTACGTTCTTCGGCCTCTAACCAATCCTTCTAGGAAAACAAAAGGGAGAATCTTTAGACTTGGAAAAATCATACTTGTGTGGACTATTGCCTACTTGTCCGACCGGAATGAAATTTTTTGTTCGGGTTTTTATATGTCGAATCGGTTATTGGTTTTTCACTTTTATTTTTTTGGTTATTTTGGTTCGGTATCGTTTTATTTTTAAAAAATCGAATTAACTGGACCGATCGAACTGTATAAAATATATTATTTTTTTATATATCTATTTATTTATTTATTCTCAGAAAAAAATAATATAAAATATTAAACAAAAAATTAAAATACTAAATATATATAAATTATAATTTATACCGGTTACTTCGGTTAATCGGCCGAATAAACAAATTATTTTATTTCGGTTCTAGTTCGGTTTAGGATAAAAGTTCAATCGGTTCGATTTTTTCAAAGAAAGTTTAGATCGATTATCGTCCAACCCTGTCGTTCCTTTGGTTTTAACACTTCAACCGAATCAACCGATGAACAACCCTAGGCCACCTTTATCCGGACCCCCTCCCATTGGGTCACGGAATTAAAACCAAAAAAATAAAAATAAAAGTTAAAACAAAAAAAATAAAAAATAAAAAATGGAAGAGGTCACCGTATGCGCGACCCAGGTCACATGGTGACCTCGGGTCGCGACCGGTTTTTATACCGAAATGGATCACTTGTCCCATTTTTATTGCACAAGTGTTTTTTTATATATAAAAAAAATAAAAAATATTAAAAATTTTAATTTTTTTCATTCTCTACAAATAGAGACTACACTTGATATTTTTGAACACAATTGTAATTTTTAAATAAATTAAAATAAAAAAAATATTTAAGTTGAGTTGGGTTATGAATAAAGATAAATTGGGTTGGAAGATTGAGTTGTGTAGGTAGAGGAGAGAGAAATAATTTTTAATTGTTAGGTTGAGTTGGGTTGAGTTTGGGATAAAGATAGTCTTATCTCCGATCCAACTCAACCTAACAATTAAAAATTATTTCTCTCTTTTCTACCTACACAACTCAATCTTCCAACTCAATTTATCTTTATCCCAACTCAACTCAACCTAAATATTTATTTTATTTTAATTTATTTAAAAATTGTAATTGTGTTCTAAAATATATCAAGTGTGGTCTCTATTTGTAGAGAATGAAAAAATACGAATTTTAATATTTTTTATTATTTTTAGAAACAAAAAAAAGTACATTTATCCAATAAAAATGAGACAAGTGTCTCATTTCTGCACAAAAACGATCGCAACTCGAGGCCACAATGTAAGGGTCGTCGATAAAGGTGGTCTAATGGCAGATGGGTAGTTCTTCCTTGGGTTTTTTACAAAAATATTTAAAATATGAGTATAGTAAAATGTAAAAAATGTAAAAAGTCAGAGGAAAAATTTGTATTTTTACTTCAATTTTGTATTTTTACTTCAATTTTCTATAATGAAATTCAAGTTTCAAGAAGAGAACCGGAAGGAGCTCAAATGGCTTTTTCTTTGAGAGTATCGATTATCGAATTTTTTACTATAAAATAATACAATATATTTCAAATAAAACTATTCTTACCTTATGGACCAAAAAATACAATATATTTTACTAAACATTTTAGTTAATAACTTTGGATAATGGATGCCTTGATTATGTAATTACATTTTATTTTATTTATTTATATCTGAAAGTTACGTGCACCGAATTTCCCACATATTTTAGCTTTTCTCTCTCATTCCACTTTTGAGCTATCGAGGGTGTGGTGGTGGAGGGTGTTCCAATCACTTTTGGATAGCTACACAAAAGAAAATGAGATTTTGTAACAATAGAAATAATTTATAAACAATAATTTTGTTATGACGATTTAATCGTTAGGCGGATCGATCGATTATACTCTTATAGAAAAATGAATATTTATATTATCGGATCTCATACTTTTGCTTAGGGAGTTGTATTCGTTTGGAATATTGAGTGATGTTTTGTGATTTTTTAATATTTGAAAATTTTTAAAACTTTCATATTAAAAGGAATCTTGTGAAATCTTAAGTTTTGAAGTGTGCAATTTGAAATGAAATTTCATATATGATTTTTTCTTTTGAAATCCTAACAAATTTTAAAAAGTTTTAATAATCTATATATATATTAAAGCGGAGCAACTCAAAGAAAAAAAAATTCCCGCCTAAACTATAATAAATACATGTCATTATTAGTGGTATTAATGCTGAAACAATCCACTCACATTTAAAATGCTCTCTGAAATTAATGATTAAAATTGCACAAATTTAATTGAAAAATGTGAACTGAAGTTATTCTTCAGGAATTTAAATTACGTAGTAATCTGTGCCATTAATTCCCAAAATATAACCACAACTCATTAACCTTCAAAATATAAATGTATTTTGTTTTCCATTTCCACATTTATTTCAAAACATTCTACATACAATGTTTCTATCATTTGATAAGCCAAATTTGTAGCATTTATATAATAGCTAAAGAAATAGTATAATCACAAATATATAGATAATCGATACATGTATCGTAGTAGTAGTAGTAGTAGTAGTAGTAGTAGTAGTAGTAGTAATAATAATAATAATAATAATAATAATAATAATAATAATAATAATAATAATAATAATAATAATAATANNNNATAAGTAGCATGAGAAAACAAAACTTGAGCCTAAACAATATACGAAAAATAGAATTATATTGTTCGGAAAAAAATAGTCGGTAGAATCTTATTGAATTTTCGTGTTTGATCTAATACCCAACCAAATTTCATACTTTATTATATTGCTTTCTAATAAATTTAAAAAAATTAAAACATAGACAAATACAATATAAAGTTATATTTCTCATAAATAATGTGATTTATTCGACTAAAAGGGAGATTTGAAAATTCAAAAATTATAATCTACGATATTGAGTACTAACATGCATATCCATACGAAGTATCTCGAAAATAGTGAACAACCTATGTACTTCCACAAAAATTTATTTGAACTTAGATTTCTTTTACCAATATCAACCATGAATATGAAAAAAATAAATAAATAAATAAAACAAAACAAACAAAAAAAGGACAACTTAGAATCGAACATAAGATCAAAATTTGATTGTATTTGTGGAAGAAAAATACATAAATATACCAGAACTAACATTAGAAAAATGGAAATGATAATATACAAATTTCAGAGATTTGCATGATTTCAGAAAGACGCAACTCACGTCTTTAATTGTGAAACGGAAGAGAAAATCATATTGGTTTTGGTTTGGTTGCTGGTGTTGTTTTGACACAAAAATACAAAATTTATTTAATATTTTTTAGTTGGCATCATTTATTTTATTTTTGTCAAATTATTGAAGAGGCCATCTAGACGTATGTGCATACATTTTTTTGTCATCATTTGAATTATAAAATTATAATTCTTGAAAAAGAAAAAAACATAATGAGTTAACTTATTGTTAATTTTCTATTCGTACATCTATATTGTTTCATAAGAATGATGGAAAGATATGGTCCTCATCACAACATTACGACAAATAAATTGCTGCACGAAATACCACAGATACGACAACATTTTTTTTTTATCATACATCACAAGTGTTAGTTTTACATTTTTATTGTTTTAGTGTTATATATTATATTTTAAATACTTTATTCTTATTATTTTACAATAATTCTATCGATGTGTATTTATAACAAAATATGTTAAATTATGATTCTCATAAATTCAGTGCATAATAAGTGTTGGTTATTGATCTAATCACTGGCGTGATCATCTTAATTATTACTTTAATATGATCTAAAAATACAAAAAAAAAAAATAAAAAAATAAACATTTGAAAGTATATAGT